GTTCCGTGGGGTTCTTGGCATCCTACGGGGCACAGCCCTTGGTGTTTCCTCTCAGCCTGTGTGACATAATCCTCAGCCACCCCTCCTCCCATGGGCACACAGTGTCCCCACCTCCCCAGCCCTTGGCACTGCCCTCCCAAGAGGGCCACCCCCATCACCTCTGCACGCTTGACAAACTCCTCGGTGGCAGCTTCAGCATTGTCCTTCTGCCCACGCCAGGCGCTGAGCGCCGACGCCTGCAGCGCCCGCCCGTAGGAGAAGGTGAGGGCCCATGGCCGCACCAGCGGGCACGTGTTGATGGCATTGAGGTTGATGGAAGCCTCCTCCTCACTCTGACCCCCAGACAGGAAGGTGACACCTGTGGAGCGCAGGGTTAAGGCGGGGGAAGGACACAGGGGATCACTCTCCTGGTCCCTGCCACATGCCAGGGCTGGTACCTGGCACAGCTGGGGGCACAGTGCGGCGCAGGGCGGTGACAGTGGCCATGGCGATCTCCTCGGGGCTGTACTTGGTGGGGCAGGAGTGCCCAGGGGTCACCATGTTGGGCTTCAGCAGGGTCCCCTCCAGGTAGATGTGGTGGTCGCTCAGTGCCTTGTAGACAGCTGCCAGCACCTGGGGAGGACAGGCAGCGTGCAGTCTCCCTGGCATGGCACAGCACAGCACAGTGCCTGCCCTGCTGCCACCCCACCACTCACCTTCTCCGTCACGTACTGGCACCGCTTGAGATCGTGGTCACCATCAGGCAGGATCTCCGGCTCCACAATGGGCACGATGCCGTTCTGCAAACAGCACAACGGCAGATGCCATCACAGTGATGTCCCTGGGCACCCTTCAGCCGCATGGCTACGTGGGACAATGCTCAGACCTGCAGAGCAATGCTCAGCCTCGAGGCTCAAGGCCTCCCCCTTGGCGGTGATGCCCAGCCCCATGGGGGGATAGCCAAGCTGGGATGGTCAATTCTGGGCCCTATGGGGTAATGTCCAGGTTTGTGAGGTGCACGTAGCAACACCTGGCCCCATGGATTGACACCTGACCCTCTGGGTGATGCCCGTTCCACACACGTGAGGTGTTACCCAACAGGGGTTATGTGCAGCCGCTGGGGATGATCCCCAGGGATCATCAGCACTGCACAGGCGCATTGCTGAGCCTCACAGATGTGTGCCCACCCCCGTGGGGCAATACCTGCCCACACAAGTCAATACCATCCTGCCCATCACTGCCCACCCTGTGGGGGGATGGCAGCAGGCACGTACCTGCTGGCAGATGCTGGCATAGCGGGCCAGGACGTTGGCGTTCTCCATGATGGCAAGAGCAGAGGGAGTGTGCTCGCTGATCTTCAGCACGCAGCGCCACTTGGCAAAGTCTGCCCCGTCCTTCTTGTACTGGGCACAGCGCTCCCACAGCCCATCCAGACCTGGGGGGCAGCACGTCAGCCCCACAGCCACAAACCCTCCAGCCCCAAACCCCCTGGCTCCACAGCCCCTGCAACACTTACCCTGCGTGGTGGTCTCGCCATCGGTTCCAGCCAGAGGCACAACACCCTTGTCCACCTGTGGAATGAGAGGAAGGTAGTGCTGAGCCTCACCAGCACCCCACAAACACCCTCAGCACCCCACAAACCCACCAGGACACCCCCCACACCTTGATGCCCACAACGATGCCCTTGTCCTTGATCATCTGGACGAAGGGAGTGCCATCATCAGCCTTCTGGTACATGGTCTCGTGGAAGAAGATGACGCCCCCGATGCATTTCTTCACCCGGCTGTCGGCGCTGAAGAGAATCTGGCGGTACAGCCGGCGGTTCTCCTCCGTGTTTTCCACCCCAATCTGGTTGAGGCGCTTGGCCATGCTCCCTGCAGGCACCCAGCACCCTCGTCAGCCTCCATCCGGCAAGAGGAAAAGGGGTGGAGGGACAGATTTCCCCCCCCAAAACTGACCTACGGACTCATCGGCTGCCAGGATGCCCTTCCCCGGGGCCACGATACGCTGCGCGATGTCCGACAGCTCCTTCTTCTGCTCGGCCGTCAGCGCGGGGTGTTGGTGCGTCATGGTGGCGGTGGCTGCGAGCGGACGGGGACTGAGTCACGCACCAGCGCGGCGACACCCCGAAACCACACACAGCCCCTTCCCCGGGGAGCCGGGACCCGCACAGGGCTGCCAGCCCGACCCCACCGGCCAGGGCACGTTGTGTAAGCCTCGTGGCAGGGATCGTGGAGGATGCCGGGCAGCTCCCAGCCATTTTGCTGCCTGCCAGCCCGCCCCCAGCCCAGCCATCTTGAGGGAGCGCAGCTCCGCGGGGACCCACGAAGGACACGAGGGGACCGGGATGGGGGTACCCTGGGGATGGGAATACCCCGCGAGGAACGGAAACAGCCCGGGGATGGGGGTGCCGGGGGGGCGGAAATACTCCGGGAAAAGAGGAAAGAGAAACCCCAGGGAGGCTCTACCTGAATCTGGAGTTACCCGGACTTTGGGGTACTCCAGAGACGGAGATACTCACTCCATCGTCGGGAATAACCCGCGGGGAGGTTACGCGGGCGATGACGATAACACGGGGATAGGGATACCGGGGGGACGGAAATAGCCCGGGAATGGGGGACGGAGCCGCCCCAGGGCGGCACAGCCCGGGGATGGAGGTACCCAAAGTTTGGGGTACTCCAAGGATGGCGATTCCCCAGGGTTGGCGCCGTCGCGGGGCCGGTGATGCCCCCAGGAGCCGGGGCGCCTGATCTCCCGGCCGGCACCGTAGGAACCCGAGCTTCGCCAGCGCAGGACGAGTATCCTGGGTCTCCCCAAACCCTCAATACCCCCATGCCCGGGGATCTCTCTGCCCTGGAGCCCCCCAGCGCGGACCGACCCCCGGGATGCCGCACGGAAACACCCGGGAGGCTCGGCGGGGCTGCCGCCTCCCGCCGGCGGGATCCCCCGGCTGTTCCCGCAGCAGCTCCTCCCGGCCCCTCGGCTCTCCCCGACCCGCGGCTCCCCCGTACCGTGTCGAGCGGCGGCGACGAGTACGGACTGCGGGCTGCGCGCTCTGGCCCCGCGGTAAATGTGGCTGCGGTGCCGCAGAGCTACGTGACCGGCGGGGCGGCACCGGGCAGGACCGGCCCCATGCCCCGCCCCGGCCCGCCCCCGCCACCGCCCGCTCCCCCCGCCGGCTACGGCCCCCCCCCCTCACCGGGGTCGTGCCCCCCCGCCGGCGACAACCCCCACGCTCCTGGTGACAATCCCAGGCTGGGGACCCCACTGTATCACCCTTTTGCAACGCCTTGCCTGGTGATGGGGACCCGTCTGCGCCCCCCCTGCCACCGCACAGGGACACAGCTGAGTCACCCCTTGTCATGGGAAGGCCCCCTCGTGCCACGCAGGCACTCCACTGTGCCATCTCCAGCTGCCAGAGACCCCTCTGTCCCACCACCCCTGTTTGGTTATGGGCAGGGACCTCTGCTACCCCCCTGCTGCTGATGGGGACCCTGCAGTGCCCCCCTATTGCTACTGCCAACTAAGGACAGGGACCCCTCCATGCCACCCCCAGGCTCTGCCCCCTATTTCCACTATTATCTAAAAACAGACTTTCCCTTCATCACCCCTGGGCCAGGGACCCCCTTGTGCCACCCCCTGGCTGGGGTCACTGTTACTGTGCAGGATACCCCATCTGGGCCACCTCTGTGCCCAGGAACCAGCAGCACTGAGCCTCAGACCCTCCAGGACAGGGTGGGGACACTCACAGGAGACCAACCCCCCTAAAAAAACCACCCGCAGCCGGCACAGGGACAATACCGGTGTCCCCACTCGGCCCACGGGGACGGCTGCCAGGGCCCCGCTGTGCTGAATCCCGCCGTAAAAGGAGGCTCAGCCACCCTGCATGGCCCTAATCCAGGGAAGGGAGCACATCTCCCTGCATCCCACACCCAGGGCCCCCCATTGCCCCCCGTTACAGCACCTTGGGAGGCTGTACCCGACCCCGCGGGGTCACAGGGCAGGGAGGAAGGCAGGGCAAGGGAGCAGAGGTCACTGCTTCCCCACGAGCCACCCACGCACCCAGGACATGCAGGCACAGCCCCAAACATTTCCCGGTAGATAAATCGGTGCCAGCGCCCCACGTGTCACGGCACCCGCCCCACACGGAGCAGCAGGGCTGTGGCAGAGGGCAGAGGAAGGTGATTTCCATCCCCCTTGGGCAGGAGAAAGAGGCCATTAAAAACCAGAGCACTTGTTGGAGTGCTGCTATTTTGGGCCATCGCAGGGGAGGGAGGGTGCTGCGTGGTCCCCGTGGCGGTGGGGAGCATCCTTGGGGTCAGGAACACCGGGAGGGGGATCCCGCAGGATCTGCCCCCGCAGGGAAGAAGGGAGGTGAGGTTGGAGCTGTGCTGGGAGCTGGGGAGCCCCTGAGGGAGCCCCCCCTTCCATGCAGCAGCAGCGACCAAGGGGGGTTGGGAGCAGGAGCTGGCAGAGCTCCCAGCACTAGCTGAGCCATGGGATGCTGCGTGCTGGAGCCAGGCTGGGAGGGGGAAACATCCTCGTGCAACAGGCGTGTGCCCACAGCCCCGTGATGAGGGTGCAGGATCCAACCTCTGGAACCATCCTTGTGATAACGAGAGGAATCCAACCTCTGGAACAAGTCCCATGCAACAGGCTCGTGCCCGCAGCCCCAGGATGGGGTGCAGGGTCCAGACAAGCCCCTGCAGAGCAGGGCAGGGAGGGAATCTAGGGCAGGAGGAGGAGCAGGGAGCAGGGGAGGGAAGCTGGCTCAGCCCGGGCACTCTGGCTGCTGCCGGGGCCACAGGGTGGGAGCCTGGGGAACGCGGTCCCTTATTGAGAGCGAACACTGGCAGAGAGGGAGGGACGTGTCCCCCGCCAAGAAGGAGAGGCCCTGGGGTGGCAGGGAGCTGTGCCCACAGCCCCGTGACAGAACAGGAGCAACCGGCACAGGCTGGACAAGTTGTCCCCACCCACAGCACCAGGAGCTTCCTGAATGCACACAGCAGGCACGGTAAAAGCCAACACAACTTTATTCAATAAATAATTACAACATTAACAACAGGAAAGGTTTCAGGCTACAGGCTATAGCGGCTCAGCAGCTTCCTTGCTGGCTGGCTTCAGGCCCAGGTAGCGCAGCAGGCTCTGGAGCTCCTGGCAACCCAGAGCCACCTCAGGGAGAGCCGACAGGACCTGGGGACAGCAGCAGCAATAGTGTTTGGGTTGGTGTTGTTGCAGTCACAGCAAGGGTGAGAAATAAACTGTAAATCTCACCTCTTTTATCTTCTCCTGCCTCTCCTCGTGGGTTCTCAGCACTTTCTGGGTATGATGGAACTTCATCTCCAGCCCTCGGACCTGTGGTGGTGGGAGATGCCCGTCAGGACTCTGCACCAAACTTGGGCAGAGACCAGCCCAAAAGGGAGAGGGGATCCCTGCCCAGGTCAGGAGGGTTGGAACTAGGTGACCTTTATGGTCCCTCCCAACCCAAACCATTCTGATTCTATGAATGGAGCCAGGACAGCCCCTTGAGGCTCCCCATACCTGCTCCAGGTACTTGTCAGTGAGCCGTATGTTCTCATCCTCTTTTTCCACGAGCAGCAGCCGCAGTTTATCCACCTGCAAAAGGAGCAAGCCCTGCTGAAGATCCCTGTGGGGGAAAGCTCTGAAGTGGCGGACAGGGTAGGAGGAGCAAGGTCTGCAGAGGTCTCCTTGTCCATGGTGGGGTGACATGAGGAGCCCTCAGCCCTGCAGCTCCCCAGCCTCACCTCCCGCCGCAGCATGACCCGCTCCTGGACATAGGCAGTGTCCACCTGGTGCTCCTTGCCCCTCATCTCCTCCCACAGCACCTTGGCCTCTGTCTCTGCACGCTGGAGCAAGCGCTTCAGCTCGGAGACTTCTGCCTTCAGCCTCTACAGGAGAAAAAGAGATGCTGGGAGGGGTCCTGTGCCCAGCATCCCCCCAGGGTACTGCCCACCCATGCCCCCATCACACACCATGACTTCCCCACTCTTGTCGATGAGTTGCAACATCTTCTCTTCCTGCTGTTTCACCACATCTTGCAGCTCCTTCTCATTCTGACAGAGAGGAAGAAGCGGGGTCAGGCAGTGTCCAGCCCTGGCCACCCCCAGCACCCAGAGTGGGTTTTCTCATGTTTGAGGAGGTCAGACAAGCCAGGAGCACCCATGGGGCATCACCAGATTTCTCCATGTCCTAGATCAGCGCCCGTCCCAGTTCGGCTCTGCCCTGGGGTGAGCGCTGGCCCACTTCTGGCTTACCTCAAGCTTGGTCCTCAGTGCCTTGTTCAGCTTGGCAATGGTGGCAGCCTGGGCATCCACCTTCTCCTGGCTCTCAGCTGTCACTGTCTCCAGGCGGAGATGCAGGTCAGAGCTGGGAGAGGACAGTGGTGGTGAGAGGGTGGGGACTGCAGCCAAGCACAGCACCAGGTACCAAACCCCTCCTGGGCATGCCCCTGGGCCCATGGTGAGAGAAGACACCTGGTCCAGCCCAGCCAGCTGGAAAAAGCCCATCAAGCCATGACAGAGGTCTAGTCCAGGGCTAGGGCAAGAGGCAGACCCAGGCATGCTGCCTGCAGGAAAGGCCATGCCCAGGACAGCGATGCCCCTGCTCAACCCTTGACACGAGCCCATGCTAAACTCACATCTCTGTCTGCAGTGCCCTGAACTCGCTCTGCTCCAGTTCCTGGATGCGGGAGCTCAGCACGGCAAGGTTGGAGACGACAGCTCTCAGCTCCTTCACGCTCTCCAGCAGAGTGTCCTCAGGATCTGCAGGCAGGAAAGAGCCTCATGAGCAACACAGAGGGAACATCAGCCCCAGGGCACACAAAGGAAGGCATGCCTGCTCATCCCTCTGCACAGCAGCCCTGCAGCTTCAGAGCAGGGTCCCAGACAGGGTGACAGCCCCAATACCTATTGCCTTTGACACAGATGCAACTTTGTCCTTGGCAGCTGTACCCCCACTTCTGCTGGTTTCATTGGCATCTGTGAGAGGAGAGAACAGCGGCTGTGCCCAGCCCTACACATCCCCCAGCACGGGAGGGAGCAATCCCCATCCTGGGACTCCCCAAAACCCAGAGAGGGGGTGCCAGCTCACCTTTCCCTGCCACAGCTTTCAGGACGCTGCCCACAAAGGAGCTGCCGGCGCGGTGTGGGGTGTGGCACGCCGGGGTGTGGAAGGCTGGGGTGCGGAAGGCCGGGGTCCAGGCACGGCGTGGGGTCTGCCAGCCCGGGGTCCGGGGACCTGGGGTCCAGGCTTTGCTTCTCGATGGAGCATCATCATCATCATCCTTCAGAGGGAAAGGAGAGTACAGCACCAGAGTGCAGCTTGTGACTGTCCCACCAAGCACACGGTCTCGAAGCCATGCCATGGAAAGCCACGAATGTGTGACCTCCCCTGGGCCATCCTGTCATGCTTGTCCCCAGCACAGGGCCCCTACCTGCTCTTCTAGAGCAGCCTTGAGGCAGTCAGCGAGCTCCTGCAACCTCATCTTGCTCTCCATAATGTCCGTGGAGCACCAAGAAACTTTGTTCCTCTTTGTCTGCAAGCTGAGGAGCTCGGCCTTGGTGCTGTCCAGCTCCTTGCTGAGGGCAGCCTGCTCTTCCCTGTGGGATGGCATCAACCTCAGCAGGAGCAGCATTTCCCTTCCTCGATGTGGGATGGGGACATGCCTGCCTCTCACCATGAACCAGCAATGGTGCAAATCCCACAGATTTAGGCAGTTTCCCTCAAGATGGGATCTGCTGACCTTCCCCACAGCCTCTCCCACCCATCTGGACCACCACACTTAACTGGAGCAGCAGTGACCATGGTCAAAATGTCCCCTCTGACACCCCAGGAAGGGCTTGCTTTCCCAGAAATAGAGGGGTTTGAGTGGAGCTGGTGAGTGGGGCAGTACCGCAGGCGTTGGTGGGACTCCATCAGTTCCTTGTGCTGCAGGACGCGCTCCTGCAGCGTGGCCAGCGTGGAGTTCAGCCTGGCCTCCACCTCCAGCAGCTGCGTGCGGCACATTTGGTTCTCCTGATCCAGGAACTGTAAGAGGGTGGGGGGGACACAGCCGTGAGCAGCCAAGCAGAGACCAGAGGGGGCTCATTGAGACCCCCAGCACAGACCCTCCCATGCCTCAGGGTGCTGTTTCTAATCAGGGGCAGCTTTATCCCAGCAGCCTAAACCCTACAAACCAGTTTACTGGGGACATAGGAAAGACTGAGGGACAGCTCCATGCCTGCAGGGGAAATTTATCTCCAAGAAAATTATCTCCAAGAGCTGCCCAGCCCCCTCCCTGGGAATCCCTGCCGGGCAGGATGAAAAGCTGCACTACGTGCGGCATGTCAACCGCCCTGACGAGCTCATCCCCCTCCGTAGGAGGGCTAATCCTGCTCCTGGCCATCTGCCAGCCTTCCTGGAGAGAAGAGGCCGTGATGGGGGCCGGCAGCGCGTGATGGTGCGGGCAAGGTCAGGCAGCTCCTACCTCCCGGCACTCGGTGGCCTCCCCCAGCTCCTGGCACAGCTCCTGGCACTCCTGCTTCAGGGAGTTCCTCTCCTGAGCCAGCCTGAGGGGATAGGATGGGATGGGATCAGGGGGTGCTGTGTTTTGGGGGCCAGAGGTGGGATGGGGCTCAAGACATCAGGGCTCAAACCCACTGGGCCATCTCCTCCCACTGCTTCTCGTTCTCCTGCTGCAGCGCATCCCGCTCCTGCTCCATGCTGGCCAGATTTATCATCACAGAGCTCAGGTCTGCAAGGGACAGAGCTGTCAGCCAGGAGGGACAGGGGCAGTGGGGATGGGGCAGCTCCAGCCCCAACGTCTCCCACCCCTACCTTTGCCCAGGCGTGAGTTGGCCACTGTCAGCTCCTCCAGCTGAGCCTCTGTGTCCTGCAGGGTCACCAAGGTCTTCTCCAGCTGGCAGGATGCCTGTGGGGACACAGTGCTCACTCTGGGGTGCTCTTGGGGTGCTCCCCTCCCCATGGGGTGTTGTCATCCCAAGGGGTGCCCCAAATCACCCCGCGCCTCAGACACCTCACAGCACTGAGAGGAGGCCCCCCTGTACCTCCTCCTTGGCTTGAAGAGCTTCCTCTGCTTGTTCCCGTGTGGCAGCCAGCTCCTCCAGGCAGCTCTGCAGCTTGCCAGGCACACGCTCCAACAGGGCATGGGACTGGGACACCAGGGCCCTCATCTGCTCCCGCTGGGAAGGGAGACAGCACCAGGCAGAGCTCAGTGTGGCACTGCTGTGGCACTGTCCTGCTGTGTGACCAGGGACAGGTCATGGCACCCAGGGCACAGAGCACTGGCAGGGCAGCAAGGGGCTGAGCCCCCACTGGACACCCCTCACCTCCTCATCCAGGGCTCTCCTTTCCTTCTCCAGATTTTCAAAGGTGATATCTAAGAATTCTCGGAAAGACTGCGCCTCAGCAGACAGGGATGCCTGTAGGGTAGGAGGAATGAGTCAGCACTGCCGTGGTAGAAAAGCCACATTTAATGGCCATGAAGGAAGGCAAGTACCAGCCCTGAGGCCAAATCTGCAGCAGCTTCCCAGCAGCAGCACCAGAAAACCTCTGGTGCCCCCAAGCCCATCGCAGAGCATCACCCAAGCTCAGGATGTGGCAATGCACTTCCAGGCCTGATCCAGCGTGGGGTAACTGGGGATGGCACCACACTCAGTACCTGCAGGTTGATGGCTTGGGCCAGCAGCATGCTCAGCTCTTGCTGGGAGGCCAGGCTCTGGTCACGGGCACTGATCTGGGCGCTGGCGTGGGCACAGAAAGCCTCCAGGAAGAGATATCCCTGCAGAGGAGAGGATGCTGCTCCAGCCATGCTGTCACACAAGGGCAAACTCCCAGGAGCCATCCCTGCACCAGCCTAGGACTCCTGCTCGCAGAGGGGCACAGCCCATGCCAAAAATACATCCAGAGGGCTCCATCACACAGCACTTCTTGCCTTCCACATTGGGCTTTTCTTCCTCTGGGATGCCAGGGAGATTCTCATCCCCAGAAATGGGTAGAGATGCAGGATGCCTCACCAAAGGCATGAGGACAGCTTAGACTGCCTCCATCCCACAAAAGCTGCTCCCTCACCTGATCCTTGGCTCGTAGGGCTTCATCCACTCGCTGCCTGATGGCATCCTGCTCTTCCAGGCAGCTCTGCACCTTGCTAGGAGCACTCTCGAGCATAGCCTGGCACTGGGACACCACGGTCCTCTCCTGCTCCCGCTGTGGGAGGTGACAGCACCATGAGGCACCAGATACAGCTGCTGTGAGTGCCAACAGGTCTCCCAGAACCCAGGGGAAAGGGGAAGCAGAGGGATGTGTGGAAGCTCACCTCCTTCACCAGGGCTCCCTGCTCATCCTGCAAGCTCCGAAAAGCAGCATCCACGAGGCCCTGGAACAGGAGGCTCTGGCTGCTCCAGGTGCTCTGGGGAAGGGACAAGGACACTGGCCTTATGGCAGCTGGCACAGGCAGCACCGGGGGGGATACGTGTGCCCTGCGTGGCTGAGACCTGGCACACTCATGGCCAGTGACAGCCACCAGATGCCCAGCTCCAGATCCCACTCCACTCCCCACTGCCACTGCACAGCCTCTGCTTTCCTCCACAGCTCAAGGCAGGGCTGCCAGTAGATTTCCTCCTCCCAAGGGCTTCCACCAGAGCAGAGGGCACTTCACACCAGTCCCTGCTCCACCCTGGGGCCCACAAGAGCTGGCCAGCCATGACACCTCCCCTCCTCCTGCCACGTGCACCAGGGATGTTTCCCCCACGAGGGTTCAAGTCCAGCAGACTCAGCAGGTTGATCCGGGCGTGATAATGCAGCACCGGGCACGTGATGCAGCAGCTGCGCTTTACTTCCACTCCACCAACCCAGACAGGGTCACTGCTTGCCAGTGGCTCAAGGATACTGTCACAGCACCAAGGCTGCAGGGGACAGGGTGGCATCACCTCAGAGAGGACTCTTACCCCTTCGGGGTGGGTGGTGTCCGTCTGTGTGAACGCGTCCCTCTGTCTGGCCGGCCCCACGCCAGGCCGTGGCCGCTGGCTCTCCTGCCAGTCACGCAGCTGCAGCGAGAGGGCCTCGATGATGATGAGGGTGCTCTCCAGCCTCCCCTCAAGCTCTGCCCGTGGCAGGGTCTTCAGCTGCTCCCGGGGACAGCTGGGGACAAAGAGAGGGGCTTAGGGCAAGGACAGCACACACAGGTGCCACAGCCAGAGGGGGCATGTCCTCATACTTACTGCCAGAGCAGGGAGTCTGTTTCCGCAGCACTGTCCTTGGCACAGGGGAGGCTTCCCCTGGATGTGTTCATGCTCCTCTCCCACACGTCCCGAGGGGTCATGAAGGTGCCAGTGGCCATGGAGAGCACCGGGGTCATGCTGGTGCCCGTAGCCACAGAGGGCACTGGGGTCATGCTGGTTCCAATGGCTGTGGTGGGCACTGGCGTTGTGCTGGTGCCAGCGACCACAGTGGGCACAGGGGTCATGCTGGTGCCAGTGACCACAGTGGGCACAGGGGTCATGCTGGTGCCAGTGACCACAGTGGGCACAGGGGTCATGCTGGTGCCAGTGACCACAGTGGGCACAGGAGTCATGCTGGTCCCAGCAACCACAGTGGGCACAGGGGTCATGCTGGTCCCAGCAACCACAGTGGGCACAGGGGTTAGGCTGGTGCCAGCAACTGCAGTGGGCACGGGGGTCGTGCCAATACCAGCAACCACAGTGGGCACAGGGGTCGTGCTGGTGCCAGTGATCACAGTTGGCACGGGGGTTGTGCCAATACCAGCAACCACAGTGGACACAGGAGTTATGCTGGTGCCAGTGACCATGGTGGGCACAGGGGTCGTGCTGGTGCCAGTGATCACAGTTGGCACGGGGGTTGTGCTGGTGCTGGCAACTGCGGTGGGCACGGGGGTGACACTGCTGCTGGCATCCTGCTGTAGCTTGCGGAGGGGCAGGCTGTGCCGCAGGGATTCCACCAGGAACGAGGTGTTGAGGGTCTTCTCCAGCCACACCAGTGGTAACATCCAGGACACAGCACCCAGGGTTGATTCAGGCGAGGTGACAGGGGTGACAGTGGCTTCTGACCCAGCAGGCTCCAACCCACTTGCCTCGATAGGAGAGAGGCCAGGTGGGCTCTCTTCTGGGGGGACAGGGGTGGGGAACTCAGCTCCCTCAGGGGTGCCTTGGCAATGCAGATGATCAGCACTCCCATTTGCAGTTGGGGCCTCAGAGGCCACAGAGCTGCAGGAAAAGTCTGGAGGTGCTGCTCGCCACCTGCGGAAGGGAGTCTTCTGCGGAGTGGAGCTGGTGCCAGGGGGCCCTGGGGTGCAGGAGGCTGTGCTGGCATTGCCAGGGGACCCAGAGCTGCACGGGGGTAGAGCAGAGCTGCCTGGAGAGTTTGGGTTGCAAGACACTGAGCTAATAACGTTGGGGAGCCCTGGGGTGGTGCTGCCAGGGGATTCCAGAGTGCAGGGCCCCAGGACAAGGCTGCACATGGTGCTGCCAGGGGACTCCAAGATGCTGGCCACTGGGATGGAGCTGCACGGGGAGACTGGCACAGTGCTGCCAGGGGACTCTGGGGTGCTGGAGCCTAGGATGGAGCTGCACAGGGGAACTGGAATTGTGCTGCTGGAGCGCTCTGGGGTGCTGGGCACTGGGATGGAACTGCACAGGGAGACTGGTACAGTGCTGCTGGAGGGCTCTGGGGTGCCAGGCATCGGGATGGAGCTGCAATGGCAGACTGGAATGATGCTGCTAGGGGGCTCTGAGATGCTGGACACTGGGATGGAGCTGCACAGGGAGACTGGCACGGTGCTGCTGGAGGACTCTGGGGTGCTGGGAACAGGGACGGAACTGCTCACACAGGCTGGAATGGTGCTGCTGGAAGGCTCTGGGGTGCTGGGAACAGGGATGGAACTGCACACAGAGACTGGAATGGTGCTGCTGGGGGGCTCTGGGGTACTGGGAACAGGGATGGAACTGCATACAGAGGCTGGCACAGTGCTGCTGGAGCGATCTGGGGTGCCAGGCACTGGGATAGAGCTGCACACAGAGGCTGGCACAGTGCTGCTGGGAGGCTCTGGGGTGCTGGGTCCCAGGACTGGACTGCACAGAGGGGCTGACACGGCGTTGTCAGGGAGGTCTGGTGTGCTGGACACTGGGACAGGACAGCCAGGGGCCTCTGGGCTGGTGCTGCTGGAGTTCTCCAAAGCACCAGGAATAAGGGTGGCATTGCTGGGGGCCTCAGAGGCACCAGGCTTAAGGATGGGAGTCCCGAAGTCACAGGTGGAGGTCCTGGGGGACTCCAAAGTGGTGCTGCTGGGGGGCTCCAGGGTGCAAGGCACTGGGGTGGTGCTGCTGGGGGGGCCCATGGTGGCACTTCGCGGGGGTCCTGGGGTGCAAGGCACCGTGGTGATGCTGCTGCGGGGGCCCCGGGCACAGGACACCGGGGTGGCACAGTCCTGTAGGACATTTTGTGGGAAAAACGGGGTCAGGGCAGTCCTGTCCTTTCCCCCTGCACTCGCAGCCATTTGCCCCAATCTTCCCATTTCCCCCATGCAGGAAATACACTTGTCCTCCCATTGCGCCAGCACCATCTGCCCGCCCAACACTCGCGGTTCCGGTACACCGCAGTCCCCGTTACCCGGCCCGTCCCGTTCGTTATCCCGCACACCGACCTTGAGCCGCAGCCGGCGGAGCAGGGGGGTCAGGCTGGTCCGGTCGGCGCCCGACTGCAGCTGCAGCTCCTGCAGCGGGGCGCGCCGGGGCCGCTTCTGCGCCTGGCGGGGAACCGGGGGGGGTCACCGGCGGCAGCACCGGCAGCTCCCCCCCACCACACACACACAGATACCGGCAGCGCTGCACCGCACCGGACCCGCCGCCCCTCGGGGACCCTCCCCGAGCCACCGGAACATCCAAACCCAACCCCACTGCGGCCCGCACTCACGGCGGGGGTCTTGGCGCGCCGCATGGCCCGGCAATGGTCCCGGCCCCGCTCCTGGTCTCGACTACGGCTGCGGTAGCTCTCAACCTCGGCCCCGCCGGGATGGGGCTGGTCTCGGCCCTGGTTCCCGGTCCCCGCCCGCCGGGTTGAGGTTTTGGGGCTGGTCGCGGTCCTGGTTCCCGGTCTCGGCCCTGGTTCCCGGTCCCGGCCCGCGCGCCGCCCGTTTGAAAACCACGCGCGGCTCTGATTGGCTGGGCCGCGCGCGCGTCACCCCGCGGAGCGACCGTTGGGGCGGGGCCACAGCCGGTGATGGGCAGGTTTACGGGCGTGGCTTCACTCATTGGCCACGCCCCTTCCGCACCGCCCAGCGCCGGTAGGGACAGACGGATGGACAGGCGGACTCAGCTCCTCCCGCATCGCCTGCCCCGGGAAAACCACCCCACACTGCCCCCCAGACCTGCCCCAGCCCCGCCCCCAGGGAGGGGGTCCAGCCCCGCGCCCCCGCCCCGGTGGTCCCGCTTTGCCCACCACGAGTCAGGGCAGCACCGCAGCAGTGCCCGCGGCTCTCGGGTTTATTGCTCCCGCGGGGAGAGGTACAGAGCTGAGGTACCCGGGGATGAGATCGGGGGGTACCCGGGTGACCCCTTGGGGGACCCGGCCCAGCAGGGTCCGACCCGCTGCTGGGGTGGGGGTTGTCCCTGAGCGATGCCGAGGGTCCCAGCCGTGGTGGCTCAGCCAGGCCAGGGCCGGTCCGGGGGGGCGGTGAGGTCGTAATCAAAGTCGGCGAAAGTGGCGGGGTCGGGTGGGGGCTGCTCGGGGGGTCGCGGGGCCACTGCCACCACCACCGGGTCCTTCTGCAGCAGGTCAGCGTCGAAGGCCACCCCGCGGAAGAAGGGGTGGCCCTGAAAGTGGTGGAGGTAGCGCAGGCGGTACAGGGGGTTGTGGCACAGCAGCTGCGGGCAGAGAGAGGACAGTGAGAATGGAAATCTCCCCCTCCCAGCCCAGAGCCCAGTAGGGACCCCAAAATCCGGACAGGAGGGTTACCTCAGCGAGCAGCCGGGCCAGCTCAGGACTGAACTCAGGTGGGCTCTCGTAGCTGCTCTGTTTGACACGTTCCAGCATGGCCACATGGTCCCCCGCTGGAGCCACAGGGAACTGGGGGAGCACAGAGTGAATTCAGGGTCTCCCTGAGGTGTCCCTGTCCCCCCACCCTGTCGTCCTTACCTTCCCACTGGCCAGGGCAAAGAGCAGGACTCCCAAGGACCACCAGTCAGCTGCATGGCTGTAGGGCCCCCCGCTCAGCACCTCTGGGGCTGTGGGGAGAGTGGGTGAGCACCTGGGGGTCTGTGCCCCCCAGCACAGCCCCCCAGAACAGCCCCCCTTACCCATGTACTGCAGGGTGCCACAGATTGTGTGGGCTCGCTCACCCCACTGCAGGTACCGGGAGAGGCCGAAATCAGTGAGCTTGAGGTGCCCTGTGGGGCCAGACAGCACGTGGGAACCCGTAGGGAGGGTGTCCCCATTGACAGGGTGTCCCCAAGGATGGTGTTGTCCCCATTGACAAGGTGTCCCCACGGATGGGGTGTCCCCAAGGCAGTGCCACCAGGTTCTTACCTCTCTCATCCAGGAGGATGTTCTCCATCTGAAATGAGACAGGCACTGAGGTGGCCTCTCCATGCTGGGGGTTCAGAGACCCCCCCACCCCATCCTCCAGCCCCCAGCCCCACTACCACCCACCTTGACATCTCTGTGCATGATGCCCAGGTCGTGGAGGTACACTGGGGACAAGACAGAGCCATCAGTGCCGTGTGTCCCCCCCAGCACAGCTCCCACTGCCACCCCAGGGGTGGCTGACCCTGCCTGCAGGTCTCTGCTGCTGGGGACACTGGTGGCTGTCCCCAGCGTGGGGGGTCACTCACCCAGCACCAGCACCAGCTCGGCGGCAAACAGGCGGACGGTGGCCTCGGCCAGGCAGCCAGCTGTGCGCCACAGCGCGTGCAGGTCCCCGGTGCTGCAGTAGGTGCACACTGCGGGGACAGGTGACAGGCCTTACTGGCATGAGGGACACTGGGGTGGCACAGGGTGCAGGGGGGTCAGACACTGGGCTGGCACAGGCACAAGGCTGCAGAGGGGTCACTGCAGCCGTGCACAGAGGTGGTGGAAGTGCTGGGGCTATAAAGGCAGCAAGGTGGCACAAGCACCTGGAGCACACCGGCAGCAAGGTGGCACAAGCAGCAGGGCAATATGGGCACCGGGTGACATACTGAGGTGACATAGGGATGAGTAAGGTGGCATGGGAACGTACAAGTGACATCAACACCAGAGCCCTGTGGGCACTGGGAACACACAAGCACCTGGGACCACATGAGGTACCAAAGTGACCAAGCGGTCCTTGGGGGTCACACAGGCACTGGGAGCACACAAACCACAGGCACTGAGGTGACACAGCCATCAGGACCGGGCAGGCAC